GGTGTTGCTACAGCAGACCAGGGAACCGCCACGTAAACAGAGAAAGACTCGCCATTGTACAGCAGAAAGTTACAAAAGGTAAGGGGAATCGGCAGCCGAGGACCGAAAAACGATTGTCATTTTCGTCAGAATGAAAGCTTGGGAGGCACTAAAATTGACCTATGGGGACTACTGGTACAAAGTAAGAGATCGCCTGCACTTCAAGAAGGACTGCCTACTAATAGAAGAAAAACTCATCAAACTACAACAATTCAGACAAACAATCCTAGACTTCCTACATCTCACAAACCCTGGAGCAGCCATGATGCTTGACTTATGGGAACCGTTGCTTTCCACAAATACACAGAACAATAGTCCAAATGGCACAGAACTGCCGTCATTGCTCCGAACAAGGTTAAAAACTGAAACCAGTAGTCGAGCCAAACGAGTAAGTTTAATTAGATTTTGCGGGGCCCCTACTGGACATGTTGATTGAGAAGGCTTACATTTTAGTCGCCGTTTACAATTGGACGAAATTCTCGGCGGCAAAAATTGTCCCAAATACAACCGTGGATACAGCTACAAAATTTCTGCTACGATTTATATGAAATGTTGGGGTCCAAATAAAATTAAAGTGTGACCAAGTTCAAAGGTTCAGAGCGGAAAAAACGCCAGTTTTCTTGCAAATCAAATAACATAAAACTCTTATTTGCCCAGCCTGATGACCATAGGTCTATAGGGGTAGTTGAACAAATGATACAAACACTGAAGCAAAGGAAGGGAGTAATGTGAATAGACAACACCTCTCCAACTTGCGTCCGACGTCGCGGAAATCATTAAAAAAACTGAAAATCACAAAAAAAACTCCCCTTTCGAAACCTACATAGAACTTAAGCCAAACACATTTCTATCAAATATAGCGACTGGAAGTTCATCGCAATGAATGAAAGATTTAATACTAGATATGGGAAAGGGAACAAATGAAAACAACAAGGATCAAGAAGAAACGGCGGCGCAAGACCAAGTCAACACAACAGAGGAACACAAAAAACAACAAGAGGATGAAACAATTAGAACAAAGAAAAGCAGCGAACCAGACAAATCAGAGCAACGATTAAGAGGTTTTCTTTCAGTTATCTTTTTATTTTTTCTGTGTTACCAGGCTAGTTGAGAATCCGTAGGGATTCAATAGTTACCTATACAACGAGGTATGATAATAATTAAAATTTTCAATGTTTACGGTAACAATTAAATTTTATAGAAGTGGAAGCATCATAATATTCAATCAAAAACGATACAATAAAAAACAAAAATGGAAAAACACTTTTAAAGGCAAAAATAAAAAATTTGTTTCAATCTTGTCGTTTATCTGCGCGAAATGAATAAAATCAGTTGTTTCGCTTCCTTGAAAAAAAAACTTAACTCAATTGAAAAAGCAGTTAATAGTTGATTTTAATTTAAAACAGTTTTCAAATCCTAAACTTGATTGTAAAAAATGTTTACAAAAATTGTGAAAGAAAAGTTCACACAAAGGCTAAACCTCTTGCGGCTCATCAGTCAAATAAAAAACTGATAAAACTGCAGCATCTGCGCAACATCTGCGCGAAATGATTGAAGTCAGTAGTCTCAGCTGCTTGAAAAAAACCTTCCGAAAAAAAATTGAATCACTCAAAAGATGCATAACTAAAATAAGGAACATACAGCAAACAGTTGACTTTTGAAAAGTGCCGCTTCTTTTAAAATTTTTGTACGGATCCATCAAACAAAATTGCAGAAATTAAAATTAAAATTTTGAGTAACGACCCATCTTTACAAAAAAATATAAGGATATTTTTTGCCCTAAAAACTACGCAATATAAGTTTACTGCGCCTTTATAACATAAACGAAAACATTTTTCAAAAAAATTGAATAAAAAAACTATAGAAAGTCACACCTGGTAAATTCACAATTTACAGAACTTTCAAATTTAGTAAAAACTATTGAAATCATAAAAAATCGATACTTCAAAAAAAGCGGATAAAAAACCGTACTAGGCCCGTACTAGGCTTTGTAAATGATATCCAAAAAAAAGCGGAAAAGCAACTAGCAAAACTTAGGACAAAACCCACGAATCCGAAAAAATGCAACATGTTTTAAACAGTTGTATTTCAAAAATAATTAATGACTGAAACAAACTCCATATAATTGCTATATAAATATGGGGCGGATCTAAGATGTCAAAGCACTAAAAAGACCCCCGCCCCCTCCCCTAAATCCGCCCCTGTAAATGATGGTCGTTTCACTTGAATTTTCAATAAAGTGAAGATGTCAGCTATTGAGCGTGAAACATGTGCTGCCTACTAAATTGACCAATTTGTGACAAATTTATCTAGGGGAAAAGTCTAGTACCCAGATGCAATGCCCTTGCTGATCGCGAGGATAATAAGGTTTAGAAACAAAAACAGATTTTGAATTGGATTTAGTTATTTTGGCTATCTATCTTTGTTTCTGTTACAATCAGTTTCGCCATTTTACAAAAGTTGTTCTATCTTGATTTTAAAAATAATAGTCCATTTGGCAGCCTGTGAGCTTATTTGAGGAGCTTAAAACCGAACATAAAAAAAATCTGCCATACGCCCTAGTTCTTCCCCTTTTTTGGTTGTTGGGAACAAAAAGCTATTTACAATGCATGCAGCCATACCTTAAGGGACGAAGAATTAGATATGAAATAATTCCCGCTTTTTTAAGCTGTTAAACGTGGTTGACTGCGGAAATTGTCGTTTTTTTTCTAAAAATGATGAACTAACGATTGAGTACAATTATCGTTATGTTAAGTTTCAAGAGTTCCAATTGCAGACATATTGTTTGGGCAAGTTTCCATTTAGTTTTAATGGAATAGCAAAACTTTTGTAGCGGTTACTTTTTGGGAAAATGATGTTTTAACGATCATTTGATTAGCATCTTTGTTTGACCTTTTGTAGTCAATTGTCGTAACTTTCCCCATCCTTTTTGATTCGAGCTTTATGGTTTTTCAGCGTGGAGTTATAAATGATGTGTTAGTAAAAGGGCACTTGAGAACATTTTCATCTGAACACACTTTACCACCCGTGCTCAAATAGATTTGGATGTTTTTGGCACCGTAGCTCCCGATAGTGCGTCAAATAGTCTCTCTTCGCGTCACGCTTTAGGAAAGGCAACTTGAACAAACCTTAGAATTCACATCATTAATTCTAGCGAACCGATAAAACTAGAGTTGTAAAACATTGTAAATTTTCAGAAAATATTCATCCCGCATGGAAAACGCAAAATACTATAAATAGCATGTGATATTTGAGTGTTTTCAATAGTGAAGATATCTTTTACTTCGAGTATTGTTTTTCGACAGAGCCAAAACTAAACAAAAACGCAGTCTCAAATAGATATTTTCCTGGTGTAATTTATCAGAAAGCAGCTGCGTTTGGTAGTTTTTTGCTATTTCCTTCATACAATCCTTCATCGAGGCAAGATTTATGAATAAAAGATTGTCCAGACCACTTGAAAAAGTCATCAAAGGCCTAAAATAAAATTCTCATTTTAGCATTTCATATTTCTTAGACATGAATATGCTGGACTATAATTCAGGTTTTGATGGAGCACTTTCGACACATGCCATCACAAATGATATGAGATGCCATATTTTTCAATTAAAGCTTTCAATTTTCCATGAACTTTTAAATGATTGAAATGAAATTACTTCAGCCAACGCAATAGTTTTTTAAAGACGAGAATAAAAGCAATCAATTTAATTCTAGACTAAGCAAAATGGATCGTTGAAATTGTTAAGGTTCCATTAAAAAAGCAAACTCTATCTTTACAAATTTAAAAGAAAAATCTTTTCGGGTAAAATAGTCTATTTCCTATTTCACAATTCCAGGGATTACCAAAAATGCTAATCATACCTTTTTTTTATTGAAAATTTTCATCAAATTGTTTTTAGTTTATTCGTTGAGTACAGAAAATTTTTAAAAACTGATGAACGTAGCTTAGAATTTTATGTAGGTCGCAATGATTTTTTTTTTTTCAATTTTTTTTCAGGAAAAATCTAAAAGTTTTTGCGGCTTAACTTTTGATTTCTTTTTAAGTTCAGTTTATTTCTTTTGTTGAAAGGGAGGCAATTTCCACCATCGAACAGCAAAGTTATAAAAGTCACAAAAAAGGTAATCGAGTTCTGATTTCGAAAGTGGAATTTGTTTTTCAGATTTCCCAGCGGAATGAAAACTTTATCTAATATTCCAGTTTTCTCAAATTGGGTTGATTTCGAAAATTAAGTTCTTTCGAAATTCAAAGAGCTTTAAGCCAATCTATTTTATAATTTGAAATTCAAAAGTTGAAATTTTTTAAAAAGCAAGTTCATTTTTTTCTGTTTTCTTGCGTTCATTGACTCTTTTGCAACGGTCTGTTGACTATTTTATCAAAAGTTTACGGCCAGTATATTTATTGGTGAATTGTATGATTCGATTATTTCCATAAACCAAAAAATCATGTTTTCATTTTCCTTTTCATTATATTTGGTTGTGTTCGTAACCAATTATAAGTAACAAGGATTCTAGTTGTTCAAACCCTTGAGTTGCTGCGGTATTGAAGATCTCGCTAATAAAAAGTATTGAACCGAGCCGAAAATTTGCTCAAATGTACAAGCAAAATATTGAAAATACAAAACGTTAAAATATGGGCTAATAATTTTTCGAATAATTTTTTTTCGGAAATACAATTTCTATGTTTGATCAGCACTTTTTTCGGATTTTTTTTCTATTGTTTATGATAATACACCAAATTCATATGCCGAAACAACAACTAAATACGTATATATTTCGATAACTCTGATTTCGATAACTTGCATGAAATTTGCATGACCAACATTTTTCCTTAGATAAAATGTTAGGAGTTGCATGTTTAGTGTTTTCAGTCTCGGTGGTCAACCCGGGTTACAAGGCTTCTCGCAAGTGTTATTAATTGGGTAAACGCAATGATCTGGTTTTCTATTTACTTTCTCGTATTTCAGAATGCTTCGTGGCGGGAGCAGTACAGCTGGTCTCTATTCCGAGCGATGTCCCACATGTTGGGCATGGGGTACGGCAAGCACCCTCCTGGCAACATGCAGGACCTCTGGCTCCTCATGCTATCCATGCTTAGTGGGGCCACCTGCTACGCCCTGTTCATAGGCCAGGCCACCAACATCATCCAACAGCTCAACTACTCCAGGAGACTATTCACCGAAAAGGTAACTCCACAACACCACGTGAAACATTCAAAAGAACGCTGCCATCACAATCGCCCACCATTTCATAGGCATAACCTATCCATAATCGAGAGAGCACAAACTCACCTTTTATCACTTGAGTGCCAAGGGGGTACCAAATTTCTCCATTTTGACAGCATCGTCGAAGGTAGAGAACAATTCGTCAAATATGGTAATTCTGGGTTTTTGAATAGATCTAAAAAAATATCGACAAAATTTTTAACATAACCACTGTCAAAAGTTTCTGCATGCAACTGGCTTTTGTACCATGTTTAAATTTACCTGCAATTTAAAGGTATCAAACATTTTTGGACAATATTCTTTTTCAGCTCTAAATTGAATTATTTAAATTGTGTTGGTGTGTTGGCATGTGTAGATGAAGCAGGTTGAGCAGTACATGTACCACCGGAAGATCCCCCCTGAGCTGCAAGTGCGCATCCACCAGTACTACGAGTACAAGTTCAAGGGCAAGATGTTCAACGAGCACGACGTCCTCACAGAACTCAACGACTGCCTCCGAAATGTCAGTAGTCCTATTGACCCTTTCTATGTTCAACCCGCTGCACTACCTTTTTACCCCTTCACATTTAGGCTCACCATTTTTTTATTTTTCTAAATCTTTTTTATCATACATTTTTACACCCACGGTTTTGATAACACACTATTAATTCACCCTATCAAAACCATTTTACACTAAAACAGACGGAACTATATATTATTGTTCCGACTTTCGATACGAAAGTAACGGAATATTTGTGCTCGGGGTGGGTTTTTTTTTTTCTTCAGACAAATTTCGACTTTTTAACTAGCCATTTTTGACTGAATTTTTTTACATCATTCGAAAGGTATTGTTGTCCTGAGCTCAAATTTGAAAAGATATTTTACCTGTGATCATTTTTCGTAAAGTTACGGGGGTTTAAAGATTGCCATTTTGGCCAATTTGGGACAATTAACGCGCGATATATTTCGCGCTATTAACGCGTAAGCGGAGAGTTAATCCGCCTTAGAAATCGTTCCAAATTGGTTAAAAGAAGCTTATGTGCCATAATTGGCTTGTTACAAGGAGCAAAATTTATCCTTTTGTACTTTGTATGGCGTGTGGGGGGATGATTTTAATAAAAAATTTCAAATTTTTGAAATTTTTTTTTTGATTTTGTTTTATTTCATCGAATTTTTAAATATTATTACTGCTCCATAAACCTTAAAAGGCAGTCGGAACATTCAGGGTTTCGCCCTGATACGAGCAGTCTTGTTTTAACTAAGAATCAATTGCCGTCCAAATAGTGTATTTATCCTTATTAAGTCCAAATTTTCCCAGTTTGATCGATATTGGGATGCAATTTGCTTTAGCATAATGAAAAATAAACTCATAATTTGAAGAAAAAAAAAAGGAAAGACGAGCTTTTACCCCATTCGATTCCTTTTAAACCATCCTAACTTTATGAATACCTCATATATGTTATGGTTGCCATGTCAATTCTCGGGGCCAATTCTGAAAATTTTTCTACTTTCCATTTAATCACTCATAAAATTAGTTGATTTCCTTCGAGACCTGGCTGTTTAATCTACTTTATACAGGAAAGTGCAAAAGTATTGACAAGAAACAGTTACAGGAATCGACTGTTTAAAACGAATTAAAAGAAATTAGTTCACAATACATCATTCGAATTAGTGATTGTGACGGAAGCATTTCGAGCTTGACCTATCTGACATGAATTCGACTAATTTTAAGTTCCATCTTTTGCAAGTTTACCATGAAAAGTTGTAACCTGATTTCAGGTGTAAATTTTTGATTGTGAGTGGTGCTGTTTTGTGTAATAGGAAGTGCTAAACTACAACTGTCGTGAGTTAGTGGGGGTGGTGCCGTTCTTCAAGGACGCCGACCCCGCCTTCGTCTCTGCAGTGGTGTCCAAACTACAGTTCGAAGTGTACCAGCCAGGAGACACAGTCATACAGGAGGGAACACTAGGCTATAAGATGTACTTCATCCAAACAGGTTCACTTATTCAAGTCACTTCCATTGAAACGTCTCAATTATTTACTTGAGGCAATAAAACACTCACTCATAAAAACAGATAGAGGGACGTTTTATCTACAAAAAAATCTTCGTTAGCCTGTCAAATCACTTAGTTCATTTAGTTGAGACATGTAACTTCCTATCAGTGCTGCCAATCTACAGATTGCTTTGCTATTGACAGGTTCCAGTCTGTCAATTGTCTGGGTGTTGTAAATTGGCCATTGAATGCACTCTTGGTTGGATTGTTGATCTAAATAGCTGGATATAAATTAATTTCATTTGAACTCGTATTTTCCAAATCTTCACTTGCTGGACTAAGTTTCTGAAAACTAGACTGATCCAACACTTACTTGACTAACATTTTTTACGTTTTAGATATTTTTGTCTAAATTGGGTTTCTGGAGTAGTTTTTCTACAAAATATAAGACTAGCTACCCTCCCCTTGCACGTGAGTTTAGAAAAAAAGGATCCTTAGAAGGGTAAAATTTGTAACTTTCTAGGTATATTTGACTGTTCATAATTGCTTTATTGTTGAACTATGAAGAAAGATTGATTTAATTTGGTACTGTGGATCGACCTACTAGAAAGTCTGTTTGCAGGTTCAGTAGATGTGGTCATATCGGACGGGACTTGTGTTGCCCAATTAGCCGAGGGATCCTACTTTGGTGAGATCTGTCTGCTGGCTAAACTGAGACGCACAGCCACTATCAAGGCAGAGACATTCTGCAACATGTACAGTCTGGACCAGGCTGACTTCAGCCAGGTCCTCAGCGAGTTCCCCCAGATGAGGGCCAGAATGGAGGCGGTGGCCAGAGAGAGACTGGCTAAGCTGGGCAAGGAGACGGTCGATTTCGCCCACAAATCAGACATCATCGAAATGAACTACAGGGTGAGATTTAATGAGAACAAAAAAATAATGCCAATTAATATTTAGATCGCCTATCAGATGCTCAACTGTAGCATGTGAATCAGATCCAATCAAAACAAAGCAACAACACTACGTAGTGTTAAGAAAATGTCAGCAAAGACAAGTTATAACTAATTTTGCTTCTGACTGTAATTATTGAGACGTACCCAAGCACCTGGTCTGATGACCAAGGACGGATCTGATATAGTTTTTGACATCTGACATGGTATGGTATGGTTTGAGACAAACTTTTTCATCATTTTTGCAACTGCTGACAATTATCGTTAAATCACCGGGAGACATATTCAGCACGTAAATTGTTTTTAATTTGTAAGACTTCGTTTTAAATTGTAAGTCTTTTGGTTAACCATTTTTTCTACAGGCGTCTACAGGCGCCCAAAAAGCCAACTTTAGATCAAAACTTGTTTACAAAAGCCCAAAAACGTTATTTTTAGCTTGTTAATTTCAAAGTATTGCCTGTTGCACAAAATATTGTGGCATAACAGCTTCTTAATTACGTTTTAGGAGAGATCGGAAAATCAATTTAGCTGGTCTAAAAAAAGTGCACAAAATCTTCAACATTTTTTTGAAAATCCTCCCTGTATCAAAAAAATATTTTGTCCGCCAATGATAAAAGTGATCGAAAATCATCGAAAAAGAATACTTTATTTACCTCGGTTGTTTTACTGTAATTTTTTGAATGTAACTGCTACAAATTTTCCAACAAAAAACGTATTCAGAATTTTCATTCATATAGCGTAAACTTTTGACATCTGATGAGACAAAAAGATTTTAAATCATTTCTACAACTTCTGACATTTATTGTAAAATAACTCGGAAACATATATTGAGCTCATGTACTTGTTTATAAAATGTAAAACTTTAACACTTGAATAAGAAACTTTCAAACTCTCGCTACAGTATTTAAAGTTTCGAGAGATTGTGTACGACCATACAAAATGCATATACTTTCCCGTCTTCTGAAAAAAGCAGACGCAGATCTAAGTTTTTCTCGAGTGGGAGAGGTTGTTTTAAAAAAAATTTTTTTTAAAGTTTTTCAAGTTTTTGTTGATTTTTTTATTTTGATAGATTTGATTTTCTGGGCTCTCCGAAAACACTAAAAGGCTCATTTTGTCCAAACAAATGTGCTTTGCAGTCAAATTTATGAATAAAAAAGAGTGCCAAAATAGCCGTTTCTGAGACTTAGTGGTATCTTTTTTTTTCACGCGCTACGACTTTCAATTTAGCATATACCAACGTGACTCTAGAATAAGTCAACATAAAACAAATGTCGTAGAAGAGTACCAAAAGAGTACCTTTTGGGGATCGAAGGGTCAATGCCCCGGAAAAAAAGAGCATCGAGCAGCACCCCACTAGTCGTGTATTGAGTAGCAAAAAAATCTTAAAAAAATTGTTGTGTCGAGAAAAACTGACAATTTTTCCATTTTTTTCTAGACCCAGTTACACAAAATTTGATGACAGGAGTGATTACAGACTGGCCGGCAAGTTTAATTCCACGTTTACTGAAACTTTAAGTTAGTTGAACCAGTGTTGCTTCTGATTTTCACCATTTTTTTGTGAGTTTTTTTGAATCTTTTTTAATTTTTAGTTTCTCATTATGTCGAATTTCTCAAACTTAATTCATTGTGGCTGGCAGAAAGTTCTGATGTATTTGCTATTCAGCTAATTTATTATGTTCAACGTGAAGGCTGCATATTGTTCCGCACTCAAAGCCCTTACAAGTTAAAGCTAGCTGTCTGATAGAGGACCGAAAAATATCCATGTGCAAACCAGTGTCTGGCACGTGGTTGACAGTAGATACATTCAAAAAGCTAAATTGTTTACCAATTTTTTCCTTTTTTCGGAAGGAAAAAGTAAGTTTATAAGGTTTGAATGGCAATAGAAGCTCTCAAATTTGAAGAATGTGGACTGACAACAACGGTCATTGTGTGGGTCAATGTAGTCTATTAGTATCTAAACACAAAAAGTGTCTTAGTATGTTTTCACGATGATTTGAAAGTCCCTAAAACCTATATTAGAGCAAACTCACTTATATAATGATGACAACCTGAGTGCTTCTATTGCCCTTCAAACTTGATAAACTTACTTTCTCTTATCAAATATCCATCAATCAAAAAATGTTAGCTAGATTTCATAGAATATAGGTGGAACCGGTATCGCAATAGCAAAAAAGGCGGAATGGGAAAAATAAAAAGTTCTCAAAATCAAAATTTGCGCATTCGGTCAAGGTTTTAGTCAATTCGCAACTAAAATTTTGTTGATAGAGTAAAGCTTGTAACTCAAGTAACAAAACTTTTGGTTGAGAATTGACTAAAACTCGGGCGAAGGTCATTAGAAATTATCATTCCTGTTCCAACATCTTTAACTTTATGTCAAATAAAATATAAGATCTTTTTTTTCAGCCAGATAAAGCAAAACAAAGGAATTGGAACAGTAGAAAAACTGACTTCTATTAGGTTACGAGCATCTAAGACTAGAAAAAAAAGTTTCTAATTTCAATCAAGTTTCCTAGATGTTTCATTATTGACGCTATGCAATCAAACGAAAAAAAATTGACAAAATTGATAAAACATTTTTGTCAACTGTACATACCAGACAACAAAATCTTAAGTCAGTTCATCTGTTGAAAATTGAAAACACGTAGACTCAAATTTTGCTGGACTGAAATAAATTTTTGTGAACTTTTTTTCAACAAACACGTGCTTAAAAAAGTAGGTTTTTTACGTTGCTCCTGGGGCGTCTCTGGCACGCTCATTGGGTTTCTGATTTTGACATCCTCTCATATGTAACTACTGTGAAAAAAGTACTTAAAGTTGAATTTGTCATTATTATTTCATGTAAAAAATAAAACTACGGGAAATTGAATCCACATCCGAAATTCACCCGAAAATTTTCAACTGATTTGACAACTGATTCAAAAATTTTTCTTGAATTGTTACTTTTTCATTTCTTTGTAGAAAAAAAATCATGGTTCAATTTATAGTTTAGAGAAAGATTATGATGGCACATACTCCTTACAATACCTCCGCCACAGCGTGGCTGCACTTTTTGCAAATGCTTCTAATTGCTCTTTCGATTCCGACTATGGCTATTAAAACAAACGAGTTTGCGCGTATCGGGGCAAAACAAATTGTATCGAGCCGTCTACATGTCTGAAAAATTTCTTTTAAGATTTTTTTTGAAACTTCGGAAGTACAGCGCGACAAATAATCTAGAATGAATCATTCAAATCGAGTCTTTTTGAAACTAGGTACTTGGTGTTGAACAAATAACACAAAAACCAAAAGATTTAGCCATGATAGCAGTGTTAAATCCACAAAGTCAGTGTTTCAAAGTCAGCAGAAACATGAATTTTTTGCAGTCTTTTGACGATACAATTTTCAATTGCACAGAAAGTTTAAAGACGGACTTAAAAAATTCAAGGCTAGAGAAATACATAAATTTTGAATGGAAAAAATTTTCTTCAATTTCGGAAAAAAGAGAGAATTAAATGCTTTTTTAATACGACAACAGCTTGGAAAAGATTTTTGTGGAGAAAAAACAATTTCCACAAAAGAACAAGCCAGGTAACTTGTTGGATTGCTAGTAGACCAAAGTCTCACCTTTTTTTCAGCTTATTTATACAAATGTTTATGCAAAATAGCTTTTGCAACTCAGTCAATATAAACGCGTGCGACGATGGTATCATTATAAACATGTTCTTGACATCAATACTTTTATCTCATTTATCTTTTGATTCCATTTTTCAAAACTTTTCCCAATTTTAAAATTAACAGACGAAATGAACCTTACCACTGGGTAATCAAAATCTGCTTCCTTTGCAGAAATTATGATCATGTAGGAGATCTATTTCTCAAGTCTAAAGTTTTACCAGTTAACAAACAAACTAATCTTTACTCAACATAGCTTGACTAGAAAGTTTAATGTGGAGAAAAAGACCAAGACAAACGAAATTGTAAGAAGTATATCTATAACAGAGTACCTGTAAAACTGAACGAGCGCACAAAACAATTGAAAAAAGTTAGGTTCCTACAAACACATTGGTGAAAAAAATCTGTATCAAAGAGTAGTTGTAACAATGGAACAATTTAAACGTGAAGCTGAGAAACGTCAGACCTAAGCAAAAAATATATAGGATTTTCAGACATTTTTGTTAGACATACACTAGAAAACTTTTTCTGATAGATCCATTACATATTTTCGAGGTTAGTTTAAAATCTAATAAAGTGTACAAGTTACAGGGTTTTTTTACATGCCGGTGTAGCTGTTGACTTTTAACGTATTGTGGGAGTTTAATTTAATAACAGCATGTATATCTAAGCAATTTGTTAGTAAATTCTTCCATGTTTATGAAAAAAAATCAAAAACTATTGTGCATAAGTTTTGCATACAAATTTTAAATTTTAGGCTTTTTTGAGATATGTTTTGACTAACAACACTAGATTATGCAAGCAGAAGTTTTTTGAAATAGGTTTTAACTACTTTTAATTTATTCTGTCTATCGGATTTTTTTTCTTGTATTTTTTCTTGTTTCGTTCTTTCTTTGGTAGTTAGAACCCAAGTTATCGGAGAATTTAAGTTTTTGTTGCCAGTTTTAACTCTAAAACTAAGTTTTGTTGACAAACAATTTTCCATTTTTGTCAACCCAATTGACGCCTTCTGGTTTCCCCGGCCCCGGCCTAATTGATTCCTTAATGGGTTGTTACCTTGTTTAACAGACTTGTTTTTATCGGTTAGCCTCAATAAAAGTATTTCAAAAAGAGGTTTAGTAAATTTCAGAATTGGGAATGTTTTAAAACATGTTTTAAACCAAGGCAAAAAAACACGTTATATAACAGAAAATACAAAACAGTGTTTTTGATTTTAAACTTTTTATCGCAAAAAACTAGCATTGTCTGGGAGTCGAACCGCTGCGATAGGTGTATGAGGAGCCTTTCCTGATTGAGCCGGCTCGATCTCTA